ACACACACACACACACACACACACACACACTCACACAAACTCAGTAGGGTAGAACTAGTGTGCATCAAAAGAAAAAGTGGAGGAAGTGTGTGGCAGGTGCCTGTGATGACAAGAAAAACTACTTGAAAGATATTTTAACAAGTCCTAGCCACCAATTTGAGAATTTTTATTATTTTAAATTTATCCAAAAAATGACGATCATGGGGGGAAAAAGAAATGAATTAGGCAGTTCAGTGGTAGAACTATCTATATTTCAAGTTGGCATGAAGGATGGAGAGAGGGAAGAATGGGGAAGGAAGGAGGAAATGGTGGTATCATCATGGAAGCTCACAAAGATGTCTACTTAACATCCCATTCTTTATAATGGAAAACACCCCCAAGGTCCTAACATTTAGGATATCAGAAAAATAATCAATCCATGTCTTACCATGGAACTCTGCAGTTATAAATGGCATCAGTATATGAGTTTCTAATGGTTGGTGAGATACGTATGCCATACTGCATTTTAAAGGAGAGTTTCATTGTAAAAACAACATAATTAGAGTATAAGAGTCAAAGGGTGCATGGAAAAATAATAAGTGACAGATGAATAGATAGACACATAGATAATAGACATGATTTTGCAGAAACAATAAGAGATTGACATGGCAAGACGTCCATAGTGACTATATAAGAGTCACAGGGCTATGGATGAGATATTTCTCCTTAATGTTCATCTGTAATTTTTTTTCCTTCAATTTAAATATGTGTCCATAGAAATGCAATAACTGAGTTGACATTCTGTTTAACTCTTCTAGTTTCATATAGCTATAAGAACTTTCTATATCTTCTCCCTAATTCCCATTTTCCATATAGGCATTTTTTACAACTCAGTTTACATGTTTCTCACAAAGACCCCTGTGCCTGTCTCACTCTCACACACCTTTCCATTTACCTACTTCCCACAGAGAACTCACCCCTCTCCTCCAGATTGTGATGCCCTCCCTGGACAAGCCATAAGGCCACCTCAGAGAAGATCTTCTCTGCTCTCCACATGTGAGTTCCTTAACATGTAGATCCAAACAATTGCTTCTTTCTATTTGTAGTTTATAATCAAGCTTAATTCCCAAGGTAAGCCCAGCCCTAGCTAAGAAGATCCTGGTAGTTGATTGCACCTTCTGTAAGTGCATGGCCCCTAGTGGATAGACCGTACCTACATCCAAGAGTATGTGGACAATTTAAATTATATTTGATGAGTTTAAAAGAGCAACAACAAAGAAAGAACACAAAGTTAAATGGGTAGGGAGGACAAGTACATACAGTAGAGATGGAAAGACTGATTATCGTCAAAATGTGTTGCATGAAATTCTCACAAACTCATAATGAAAACACTGCAAAGCCAAAATCTTGCAAAATCTGTGCAAAATGAGAATCAACCTGTTTCTTGAAAACACATGCTGGAATATTTGAAGGAAATAAAGGTTGATAAAGGAAAAAATAACTCAGCTAAGGGAAGAGGCCAGGGCTGTCACTGATCCAAGCTAGAACCTGGGAGATCTATAGCTCTGGGGACACCAACTTAGATTCCAGACTTTCTAGAGGAACCACATACAGTAATGGTCAGTATGTGACTGACCATCTAATATTGTGCAGTGAGTAAAATTAACATAGAATCCAGGTTTGGGCTTTGGAAAGCAGCTGGCTGGTCTGGACATGAGGCCTGGTGCCAGGGACACTTACAAGAACGGAGACACTTTCACTTCCTGCTGACTCTCCAAAGATGGTCACAGAGCCTGGATCCCCTCCAAAGTTGGCGATATTGTCCTGGACCCAGCGCAGTGCGGCCACCTGGTCCAAGTGACCCCAGTTCCCCCGGCTGTGTTCATCCCCTGTGCTGCAAGAGACATAAAAAGTAAGTATTTCATGTCAGGGATCTTAGGACCACATATGGATTGGGAGCCCTTTGCAGCTTCCCGAATCCAGGTGAGCTCAGCAACCACCCTGACACAGGAATCTTCACCTGAAAGGGGCTCTCACTCATTTTTCCAACAACTAACTAAGTGCTAAGGGTCCAATGTACATCCAGCTCTGGTGTGAGCGCTACAGCGTATATTGAAACAAAGCAAGAGGTATGGCAACTTTCAGCTCACAGCACAAAACACAGGCTAGCCAATAAAACGAGAATAGAATGTCAGTGACTGGGGAAGGAAAACAGGTAAAGAAAGAAGCAACGGTAAGTCTGGGGAGCATCTTAGACTCATAGCCAGAGAAC